AGGGAATGGAGAAGGATCTCAGAATCTCAAAGTTAAAAAGAGAAAAAAGGAAAGAATAGGAATGTCACCAGACCACCAAAAATGAAGAAAAGGAAAATGAAGAAACAACAATGTAAACATAAAATAAGATGAATGATTAAAATCAAGCCTGACTGTCATTACTCTAAGTTGTATTTGCCTATTAAAATGCAAGCCATTAGATTATAGGTTTTAAAACTCCAAATTTAAAAAGTTACAGCTTTAGGTTATTTATGAGACACATTTTTTAAATAATTACTTTTAAGTGTTAAAAGTAATGAGGTAGAAACCAAAAACGTGATCCATAAAAGGAAAAAGTAATCAAAAACCCAACAAATGTCTTACATCCAGAATACATAAAGAATTCTCATAACTCAACACTAAAAAAAAAAAATCCAATTAGGAAATGAGCAAAAGACATGAACAGACATTTCACCAAAAAGATATACATAGGACAAAAAGCACATAAAAATATATTCAGCATAAGTAGCCATAAGGGAAATATAAATTAAAACCACAATGAAATATCACTACATACCAATTAAAATGACTAAAAAAATAATGACAACATCAAATGCTAGTGAAGTTGTGAAGAAACTGGATCATTTATACATTGTTGATGAGAATGTAAAATGGCATGACCATTCTAGAAAAGAATGGGTAAACAGTGTGGTACATCTTACTATGGAATACCAACCATCAATAAAAAGGAATAAGCTATTGACATACACAATAATTTGGGTGAATTTCAGAGGAATTATGCTGAATGAAAAAAGCCAATTCTCAGAGGTTACACTGGGTGGTTCCATTCATGCAACATCTTTGACAAAACAATAGAGATGTACAACAGATTGGTAGCTGCTAGGGGTGTTAAGGAATGAGAAAGGATGGGAATTGGCTGCGGCTATAGAAAGGTACCAAGAGGGATTGTTTTTTTTTAATTTTTTTTAAATTTCAGCATATTACAGGGGTACAAATGTTTACATTATATATATTGCCTTTGCCCCACCTGAGTCAGAGCTTCAAGCGTGTCCAACCCCAGACAGTGCACACCACACCCATTAGGTGTGTATATACCCATCCCCTTCTCCCCACTCCCACCTGCCCAACATCCGATGAATGTTACTACTATATGTACACATAACTGTTGATCAGTTCATACCAATTTGATAGTGAGTACATGTAGTGCTTGTTTTTCCATTCTTGGTGTACTTCACTTAGGAGAATGGGTTCCAGCTCTATCCAGGATAATACAAGAGGTGCTAGATCACCATTGTTTTTGTGGCTGAGTAGAACTACATGGTATACATATACCACACATCTTTGCAATTGTGGAAATCGTGCTGCTATAAACATTTGAGTGCAGATGTCTTTTGTATAGAATGTCTTTTTTTCCTTTGGGTAGATGTCAAGTAATGGGATTGCTAGATCAAATGGTAGATCTACTTGTAGTTCTTTGAGGTATCACCATATTACTTTCCACAGAGGTTGTACTAGTTTGCAGTCCTACCAGCAGTGTATGAGTGTTCCTATCTCTCCACATCCACACCAACATTTATTGTTTGGGGACTTTTTGATAAAGGCCATTCTTACTGGAGACAAGTGATATCTCACTGTGGTTTTGATTTGCATTTCCCTGATGATTAGAGATGTTGAGCATTTTTTCATATGTTTGTTGGCCATTAGTCTGCCTTCTTTTGAAAAGTTTCTGTTCCTGTCCTTTGCCCACTTTTTGATGTGGTGGTTTGATTTTTTTTCTTGCTGTTTTTCCTGAGTCCTATACAGATTCTAGTTATCAGCCCTTTATCAGATGTGTAACATGCAAATATTTTCTCCTATTCTGTAGGTTGTCTGTTTGCTCTCATGATAGTTTCCTTGCCTATAGCACAGATGATTTGATACCTAGGATGTGTGCAGTACTCTGCTAGGCACTTGGCCCCTGGTTTGCATTTTAAAAGAGGAGAGGATTTGAGGAGCTAGCCAATCAGCATATGCCTTGCTAAGCCAAAAAATTGTTTATTCAATTTTGGTGTAGCTTATTCAACTACTCATAAGTTAAAATGATTGGGAGGAACATGGTTCATGTGATCCTAGGAGAAACTATAATTGAGACTTATCTCTACTTGTAGCTTGCAACAGCTTTAGAGCTAACCAGGGACAAATAGCATCTTGTTTTCAGCTTCTCGTACAAGTATCATCGAGCAACTAGGATCTATTAAAATTGATTCATAAACTACTACAAACTCTTTGATCTTCTTAAAGGATCTAGAACTAATTAGGGATAAAATATACTCAAGTACAATGCAGTCCAGCCAGGGATGTTTATTCAAAAAGAGGATGAAGGATGATAAACAAAAAAGTCAGATCTGAAAATTCTATTTAAAAATTAAGCTATCTTATTTTTAATGAAGAATTCAGAGACTTGGGATGGGTTTAAAACAATAAAAGTTTTAAATCTAAAACCAGAAGGATTTTTTTGTACTTTAAATTGTGAAATTATATTATTTTTTGATCAGGTGCATACTGAATTCTTATAATACTATGTACAATATTAGCAAGGCATATTCCCCGCTTTCAAGAGTCTTGTACACAACCAACTATAATGTAAGGCAGAAAATATTTGTTATAATTGAGGACCTGAAAATGCCATTTAAGACAGAGAAGAAAGAGATTTATTACTGTTAGGGAGGATTAGAAGAGGTTTCATAAAGGAAATATCACATCTGAAACAAAACCAACAAATGGGCAGAAACGGGGGGTCATAATAAAATCAACCAAAGCACATTACAGGCTGCGTTTACAAACCAGCAAGTAATCCCTCCTGGCTGGAGCCTTGGGGAAGGGGAAATAAAGTTAGATGATTTCCAGTCAATCATGAAGACCCCAAAATGTCATCAGAGGAGATGGGAGTTTATTTCGAAACCAACATAAAACCACACAATGGTTTTGAAACAGGGAATAGTAATCAAAACTGTGTCTTAAAGAGATTATTCTGACACCATGTATAAAATAGATTTTTAAAGTATCAGAGGTAGGAAGACCGATATACAGGCCATGGTTGCATTAGAGTAGTTGACTCTGAACTCAGAGAGCGAATTCTAAGTAAACAGAAAATAGAAAATAGAATCCGGGGAATGGATGACACTGTGACGAGGGGTGATAGGACTTTGGTACTGATGTCAGCAGTGACAGAGGAGTACAAAACGTCTTGAGGTTTAATGTCCGTGTGCCTGGGAAGTTGACAATGTGCTTAGAAAGAGAAAGAAAATAGAGAACAGATGAGGTTTGCTAGGGTGGGGGTGGGGAGAAAGATAATGTTTCATTTATTCAATAAATATGTATGGGGCACTTACTATGTACCAGGCGCTGCTCTGGGGGGATGAAAGAGTTATCTTTAATTTTTAAAGCACTTTACGTGGAAGAGGCACTGTTCCCAATCTGTGCAACTCCAAAGGCAGTGCTAGAGCCTGGGAGTAGAGCAAGGCAGAAAGTGAAATATCTCTCTAATAAATGAAGACTTCTTGAGAAGTAGTAAGAGCTCTGTTGCAGGCAGTATGCAAGCAGAAGTTGGATGATATTCCTCCAGGAATGTTGTAACAAGGGTTTCCTACACGAAGAGAGAGGTTAAATTAACCTTTCTGTTGAGTTCTTTCCCAATCTTAAGAGTCTGTTCTTTCCGATGATCTAGTCCTGTGAGTTCTATTATTAATCTCTGGTTTCTCCTAATTATTAAATAAATTACTCACTCTGTCTGCCATTCAGTAAAACTCACACATTTGCATCTGTTTTTCTTGAATTATTTTTGGTTAGGGCTCTTCTTCTTTATTAAAAAATTCTACCCAGTTAATGTTACCTTTATAGCTAATTCAGAATGGTAAGCCTGGTAGATTGGGTTATAAATATCAGAGGGGAAAAGGATTTCTTATGCCTAATAATATTTTTGTTTGGAAAAAGCCTGCAAACGAGAAATAAATTATCTTGACTTCAAGATTGCGATGCAGTTTCTGTATTTTGCAGTAATTCAAAAAGGAAAAAAAATATTTCAGAGAGATTCATGTTGCCCTGGTATGGTAAAAAAAAAAAAAAAAAAGAATAATTATTCTCCAAACACTGTAAACCTTTCGATAGAAACATTTATCTATGTTGCATTCAAAAAAAGAAGACGAAAAGGAAGGAAAGAGAGGAAAAGGAAAAAGGGAACCTGTAGTGAGCTCTATTATAAGCTATAGTTCAAGCTTCGCATTTCCTGGTGTCTTTTGAAACGTAAAATTCCACAACAAATAGCTCTGTAACGTATAACCAGTATGAAGATTCAATTCAGATTTAAGCACTTTGGTTTGCTTTTGAATCTTGCTATTTTCTGCATTTGTTTTGACTGCTCTCATCATTCAAGATTGACGCTTGGATGGGTGTGTAGGAGGAAGCAGCAGCAGCAGGCTTACAGCTTGCAGACAAAAAAAATCTGTCTTATCTGATGGCTATTATTGAAAATGCGAGGTGTAGCCTGGGCTGGGTAATGAAGGGGAGCGAGCGAGGGGGAGCAAGGAGCATGGAGTCGCATACTGATGAGTGTAGGAGTACTTGATAAAAAGAATTCTGGCTGCCGGCTGTGCATTGCTCATTGTGGAGTACTCCAACAATCACATAGAACGCAGACCAGCCTAAGCTGACAGCTTGATATGCCTTCTTCTGCTGCCTGGTTTTGGGGGCTGTGTGACGTGCTGGTCGGTAGTAAAGATTAATATATAAGAAATGTGGAGCTAGGATCAAGTCATACTCCGCAGCCTGCCTGGCAAACTATGTTTTACTTCTGACTTTGCTGTCTCGCTGAGAACATTAATCTGTCAAGCTGGCGGGCTCCTTTGATAGCAACTTTCCCCGGAGCATGATGTGGCAATGCCACCTCTCAGCCCAGGACTACCGCTATTACCCCGTGGACGGCTACTCCCTGCTTAAACGCTTCCCTCTTCATCCTCTTACAGGACCCAGATGCCCTGTCCAAACAGTGGGACAATGGTTGGAAAGCATTGGGCTACCTCAGTACGAGAACCACCTGATGGCTAATGGATTTGACAATGTGCAGTTTATGGTAAGATGCTCTCTGTGTCCACGGAGCTGCCTTTTGTCTGTCTTTGCTTCTTATGTGTCTTACATGGCTCAGAGGCAGCCTAATTTGCACCAAAATCGGTCCGTTTTCTGTATGTAACTGCATCAGAAAATTGGATGCCCTTAGCACTGAACTTACTGTGTGCATATAGACACTTGCTAAAAAATGAGATCTAGATGCATCCATATACATATGTGTTATGTGAATGAACTGGTGAGAGTACTATTTATAGACAGTGAAAGAAGATTGACATTTATATTCTTCCAGTCATTCTTTGTGTGATTTTTTTTTTTTTTTTACAAATTTGTAATCTTAGAATACCCAGGTAGATTATACCACGCTTCAGCTCATTCTAGATTCCTCAAATATATTATTTCACTTGAGCATCAGCATTTAGTGATTAATTAATTTGTTAATGTTTATGGTGTGAAGATCATTTTCTTTCCTGATAATTGTTGAATAATCAGTTTAAATCGTGTGGACAGCCTTCAGTTCATTAGCAAACTGCTTTGATGGTCAATTATGGAGAGTATTCACTTGCTTACACCTGCTAAGTGAAGAGCCATGAAGTATTGTTTATTACTTTAGGTGGGAAAGAAACACTTCAGTCAATTAGCTGTCAATGTTTAGAAAGAGAGGTTGATAGACCAAGTGCATTCACATACTTCTGAATCCTAGTCTACATGCAGTTTAAATCTGACATGTGCAAACTTCCCACCGTGATGCATGTAGGTGAGGAAGGAGGATGGGGAGGTGTGCAAACCTACACACCAGCTTTCTAATCATTTCCATACCTCCCTCAATGCTCATCAGTTCCCCTTGTTAAGCTACGTCACAGCTCTTCTTTCCTTTCCTTGTTTTTAAGGTCCCATCACACATATCACTGATCTGTATATTCAGAGAGACCTACATTAACATAAGCATGTAGTACACAAATGGTTCGCAGAAATAAGTAATAGCTATTCCTAAATAAAATGCTGAGGCTGACACCTGCAGCTTACTAATAGCAGAACTGATAATGAAAACACTGAGAGCTAGTCAGGTCTTTTTATCTCTATTTGAGATTGTATTTTTCTCCAAGCTCGACATGATGGTTATAGATTTGAAGATTACTAAAATTGTTAAACTTCTGCTCGTTCTCTAAAAGTGTGAATGCTCATGAGCTTTACAAAAATAAAAAAGACATAAATATAATAAGACATATGAGCTCTAAATAATTGTATGCATAAAACCTTTTATGAGAGTTTTTTGTTTTGTTTCATTTTTTTATAATGAGATATGCAGCCCCTGTTATTTTTCTTGTGTTTGTTAAGTACGGTCACTGGTTAGATAGACAAGATATTGTGGGTATTGAAACAGGGAAAAAAGTGAAAGTTCTTCAATTGCTAGGGAAGTCTTAGGACACTGAGCAAATTTAGAACTGACTTAGGACACTAACAGATGGCACTAATAATTAGAGGAACTATCAAATAGAATGAAAGTCTTTTCATCGTTATTTATGTTTACTGCCCATTTCTATGTCTTTACTCTTTCTCCTTATTCCTACTTGAAATAAGGCTTTCTCACTCCCACTGCTCAAACCCTTGCCCAAATGTATTCTGGTCCCATAAGTTAGGTCTTTGGATTCTCTGGATCATTTTGGCATTCTGAAAGATTTTAATTCAGCTTAATTTCCCCTGAATGTTAAACACTTATGAGCAAATATAATATCTTTTTGAAAGCCTCAAAACTGAAAGGTTAATCAAACAGGTTTTAAATAAGTATTCAGGAAGAGATTATAAAAAATGTTAATGAATGAATCATGTATAAGCACTACAAAATGTATCTGGAAGGCAAAATTCCTGGACATATGTGACAAAACCAAGATCTAATCTTGGATTTTACCTAGATTATTGTCTTTACTCATTTAGTTCCGGTATTACATGTCATTTTTCCTGAAAAATAAAGACAGTATTAATCCAGATGAGCCAATAAAATAGTTTCTTCATGAGACAGAATTTTTTTTAAAAAACTTTGAATTGCCATTAGAGGTGTTAGTTGTGAAAATGAAGCAAATCATAAAATGGTATTATCAATTAGTGCTTTACATGCTGTTATATAGCATTTTCTTGCTACTAGTAACATGAGATGAATTTCTACCTTTATAAAAATTATTTATTGATCTACATAATCTAATTTGTTTAATTATGAACTTAGTTAAAGTACACTAATATGACTGGCTCACTTTAAGAAACATTTCATTAATGTGGTGAAAAATCTGTTAGACCTGCTAAATCTCCACTCAGTATCACATTCTAGCTTTTGTTTTTCTTGAAACACATTCTGACCTGCATTTATTCATCCCGTTGCCTAAGCAACAAGCACCACGCTCCTATTAACTACGATGTAGTGCAGGTCTTATTAGCTTTTTAGAACAAGACAGTAGGCATCAAAGGATATAATTAATGTTGGTTGAAACATCATAGTACATCTGTGTATACATATACTTTATTTAGGAAACATTCTCAGGAGTTAATTTTTTATTTAATCAATATTCCATTAATGAATGTGAGTTTAAAGGGTCCATATAAGTAACTTTCAAAGTAAAGTACTTATTGAAAGCTTAAAAAAAATCCTTTTGCTAAATCTGCTCTAAATACATACTGTCACACCAAAACGCAATATATGGATGATTTATCTCCATGGCTACGGTTAACTTTAATAAAGACTACTTACATCAATTCCTAGACATTGTTAGAAAAGAAGGATCCTATCTGTGCGTAAATATCTGTCAATTATTGCTTCTCCTTTGGGCTCTTAATACTTATACTTGATTTTATAGATGAGTGATTTTTTTTTCCCATATCTTAAAGTCAAATTTCCAAAGTTTCCCTTTATGTATTTCATTCTGGCTTGTAGAATAGTTGTGTGCACAGTTTAGATTTTCTGTATCCTTAAAAATATAAAATAAATAGAAATTGGTACAATCAAAGACTGTCTATAAAAGTATATCAGGTCACCTAAGACTTTATGAAAGTCACATCAGTGTTGAAATCAAAAGCCCCTTCACACTTTCTTAGTACGTTTGTCTCTACCGTTGTATTTCTTTTTCCAAGTCTGATGACTTCTTCCTAAAGTTTAAGTCTCAAACTATCTATTCCTGCCTTGATGATTTTGCTTATCTACTCTCTTCCTTCCTTCCTGGACAGCTATGTCTTTTCCTTCCCCTCTGTCTTTTATCCTCAAAGTCCTGCCTTATTTACATAGCTTTCTTCAATAACTCCAGTCCATAACAACCTTTACTTTTCTCTGAACTCATGTAGTGGTTACATTTAATATGAAAAATTACATTTGACATGCCATTATTTTCTGTCTAAAATGACAAGTTTTCGCATTTATATATCTTGTCTCCCCAACTAGACTGGAAGCCCCTCAAGTCCAAGTTCCATGTACTAAATTCCCTTGCCTTTCTCTCAACTCCTACCATAATTCTGTGAACATAGAAATCAGCCTTAAAAAACCGAAGGCATAAGGTTGTTGTAGATTGTAGATGGACCTCTGGTCTCATTTTTAAACTGGAAGCTTTGTTTTATTAATGGGTACATGGAACATTCGCTCATTCGTGCAACAAACGCTCTTCAAACATTTTCTGTGTGTCAGGAATAGTGTTAAGTACTAGGGATATAACAGTGAACAAGACATGACCTTTACCCTCAAGCAGAGTATGGTATTGCTTTCACACCTATCATATTATTTGCATATACATCACACACACACACGGGCCCATACACACACATACATGCATACACACTGTATCACAGGGACCTGTCCCCTCTTCCTTCCATATAATCGCCATAATTCGGCATATATACTTACTAGCAATCGTTTTTCCAGCAACGAATTACAATTGATAATAGAAGAGGTAAAAATATATCACCACATGAAGTAAAAGAAGATAAAGATACTAATAACACCAAAACAGTGTTATGGTAGATTTATAGTCTGAAAACTGTATTAAGAAGTTTATATTACTTGGAGGAGGACTGACTTATAACCTTACCATGATAACTAGTTGGCAGTTATATTTGTAAACTCTAATCACAAGGGGGGGGGGGGAAATGAAATTATCACCAACTCATTTTTTAAGCATCTCCTATGTTTCTAACAGTCATCAGTCACCTAGGTTGACTTGGGATGCTTTGGCCATTATTAAAATGTTCAAAATGCAGCCCCTGCAGTGTAAGAAATATAAATAATACTGATAGCCCTGCAAGATGGCATTTTTGTACACTTGGGCAGATAGCATTTATAAAAGTCTTGCTGGAGGTCAAAATGAGAGTGCCTATTAGACACTGAAGTGGAGCCACAGAGCTCTTGGAAATCGTCCATTTCAACAAAACATTTGAACAAGACAGAGCTTATAAGTATTTAATTGAAACTTTTTTCCCATTTCTGTGGGGTGCTTTTTACCTGCTAATGGACTTACATCTCTTTTGCACTTTTACGTAACTTTTCTGTTATAGGAGCATCATTTGCAATTGGCCTGATAAAATGACCTTTTAAGTATCTAGGTAGTATGTTATGATCCAAGTAAGAAGCTAAACTTGTGAAGTAGAAAAATAAATTGCCCCTAAAGGGTAAGACTGATCACTCCCATGAGTATTTCTTGTTCAAATATTGCTTAGGAAAATTTTATGAACTTACTGAGATTTGAAGGTACCTGCCACACTCCCTACGCCTTCCTGTTTCTGAAACAGGCTAGGCTCAGAGTTGAGTGGGTGGCCTTATATTGAAAGTACAGCTATAATGTTCTAAACTCATTTAGGCCAGTAGTTACAAAGTTACAAATCATTTTGGAAAAAATTAAAAAACCAAACCATAATTTTTTCAACTACTGACATTTAAAAATCTGTTGGCACGTAAAAGTCAAAGCCAAGAGAGTGTTATTCTTTATCTGGACAAAAGCTTAATTGCAAATATAATAAGCAACAGCCTCTCAGCGG